TATGTAATAAGATTAGACAAATAATGACTCTCCATCTCCATCCTTACGTGTCCACCATGACTCCCACTGTGGCTCACGACACAAATAGAAATCCATTGACCAATTATTCCCATATCTTATACATCTAAAACACCATCTTCCTACCAACATGCACACCATGATTCCATCACTATAGCACATTCACCAATAATCCTTGCATTTTTAAGTTCCACTGTCTTGTAATCAATTCCAATAAAAGAACAAACAGCGGTTGTGTTCTTTCTAGTCTCCTTTTGCAGTTCTTCCATCTAACAACTCAAACCATTCTTCTTCAAGTTGTAACTCTTCTTGCGGATTATAGTATCATGCAGAACATACAAAGCTTTGTGGTGGTGTACAACTTAAATAACCAGTCATTCCATCTCTACATTCTGATATGCAGCATGATGGAGCAGAATTCCAAATCCTTCGCCATCCCAAGATGCGTCCCCTTCCTCTCCCACTCCCACAGTAGCTCCATATGCTTCATCACCACCTTCGCCACCCTCCTCGTCCTGGTCCTCCTCCAAATCCAGGTCATCACGTCCTCTGTCTCCACCGGTTCCCTGTCATGGCCTTTCTTCGACCAGGCGTTGCATCGAGACGAATCCTCGATCCACACCGAGCTCGGCCGCGCTCGATCCATGCTCCGCGACTCCGTCACCTTCCTCCCGCTGAAGGACCTCAGGTTCGCCAAGGAGCCCATGTCGGGCCACACGTGGTTCATGAGCTCCATGAACGATACCTTCGAAGGTGACGAGACTCGGCACCTTCACTTCCCGTCGGAGGCGTCCAAAGGAAGGCTGCTCTGCCTCTCGGCCCGCGACACCTCCGACGGGACCCAGAACTTGTATGCGTTAGCATGGCCTGAGGCCCTCCCGCACGACGCTACGCTCTTTCCAGGTTTAACCTTCGTCTCAGACACCTACTTCGATTACGGCAACCTGTGGCACGGGACGTCAGCCATCCTTCCGTTCGTATCATGGCACCAGAGGAAGGAATGCGCGGTTCCCGATCGCTGGGTGCTGTTCCACTGGGGCGAGCTCAGGACCAGCATGGGCGCGTGGGTGCACAATCTCACCAGGGCAGCCATCGGGGAGGTGAGGATCGAGGACCTTCGAGGACACGGCGGCGCCGGACCGGCTTGCTTCGAGAAGGCGGTGGTGTTCAGGCATAACGAAGGGGCGATGAAGAAGCAGAGGCGGCGGGAGGTGTACGACATGATGCGGTGCAAAGCCAGAGCTTACTGCGGCGTTACTCGAGCAATCACGGATCCAAAGGCCATTCGCATGACGCTGCTGCTTCGATTGGGATCGAGGTCCTTCAAGAACGAGTCCACGGTGATCCGGATCTTCGAGAAGGAGTGCGCGAAGGTGGATGGGTGCGTGGTTAAGGTTGCATGGGGCAACAACATGACGTTCTGCGACCAGGTACTACTCAACCAGAGTCCCCATCTCCTTCTTCCCATCTCCGACTCAGCCATCGATCGTCGATGCAGGTGAAGCTAATGAGCGAGACGGACATCTTGGTGTCTCCCCACGGGTGCCAGTTGACGAACCTGTTTCTGATGGACAAGAACAGCAGCGTCATGGAGTTCTACCCCAAGGGGTGGCAGGAGCTCGCCGGCGCGGGGCAGTACATCTACAGCTGGATGGCCAACTGGGCCGGAATGCAGCACAAGGGCTCATGGCGAGATCCCCAGGGCGAGGAGTGCCCGCACACGGACAAGCTCGCGTGCTTCCTCTTCTACAAGGACGCACAGATCGGGCATGACGAGGCCCGCTTCGCCGACTGGGCGGCCAAGGTTCTGGGCGAGGTGAAAGAGATGAAGTCGAGCGAGGCATCGAGCGGGAGCCGCCATGCGGATCTTGCAGGATCATCAATTCCCTGCCCTTGTGATCGATGATTGTAGTCTTGGCTACGTTTGCAATCGTAGTATATGAAACAATCATAATATATGAAAGGAAGGTGCAGCAAATATCAAATATTCATATGAATTGATATTTAATTAATTTTATTAAAATCATGTTTGTTGAAAATATTCAAATGCTGATATTATCTCAATTTTTTAGAGTATCTTATGACTTTATCTAAAATTCAAAATAAATTAATTAGAAACCAATATAAGATAAATTTTTATTTGTTTATTTTTACATATTATTTTATATTTATTTATGTAATTATTATTTTTATTTATTATATATTTGAGCTAGACAAAATTTCTTATAAGATTGCATACATTTATTTATTTACTCATTAATTTAAATAAAAATATGTATTCACCTTTGATTAAATATTAAAAATTATTAGCAAGGTAAATTTATCATAAAATATTCAATGAGCTTTTGAAATATAATTTTATCAAACAACATTTATTTCAATATATATTTAAAAGATAATTTTCATCTATTGCTTATCAAGTATTCAAAGCATTCTACGACCGTATATCTATTCAAATCTTTTTCTTTAACTTCACATTAAAAATATAAATATATTACCGAATACAATCGAAATTTATTCTTCTTTGGGGTTTAGTTTGATTGGTCTTCTAAATATTCTATATTGTGTTTTAGCTATTTTTTGATCTTTGTGTGTTCTCCTTTTTCTTCAATGATTCAACTTAATTGACTTGATAAATTTTTAACCTAAGATATTGAATTGCATTGAATTTAAGTTCAACTAAAATCTTGGCTCCTCAAAATCGAGATAAATTTATTGGCATGATTTTTCGTCTATACAAATTACTCATCGTTACATTTTTTTTTAAATAAAATTCTAATGTAGTATGACAACTAATTATAAAAAAATGTTAGATTCGATGTTGTCTTAGAATTTGTCATAATTTTTAATTTTTTTATATTATTAATCCAAGTCACTTCAGGTTTAATATTTGGCTTGATTGTTGTCTAGTATATAAGATCTATATCTTGATTCCATAAAAATAGTTGATTGTATTTTTTTTCTTATTTTTCGGACCACACAAGATTATAAATCTTCATATAATAATGATAACATTTTTCATGAATAAGAATTTGAATTGACTTATAATAATACATGTACTTGAATTCAAATATTTTGGATCAATAATTCAAATTCAATAGGATGATGAATCTATCTCATTAGATTGAAGGGCGATAAATGATACGAGAGCTAACTTTCAATTACTAGCTCGAGTTAGAAGACACTTCTCAAAATGGAACTATTTTTTCTATGTGTGATATTAGGATTCATTTTGGAGCTATGTTAGGTTCTTCAAAAAATGTCAAACCATTAAATGAGAAAGATTATCATATATTATATCTGATCTCTCGAGAGCAATCCTATGAATTAACCAGTATATCTAATTGTCTCTCAACTTATCATGTATACCTACAAACAATCGAGACCTTACACGAATTAAATATTTTCTACATGTTATTGATAAAATATTTCTCTACACATTGCATGAGATGTCAATAATCTAAATCATTTTTGAGTTCGAAATTTTTTTTACATATTATTGATAATATAAATTGATTATCATAATCAATCCATCAATTATCAAAAAGGAATTTCCATAATGTTTGAAATGTCAATTTATATTTCTTTTCTTTTCAAACCAAACTTTATAATTATTTTTATATTTTTACCATAGAGATAACAACTTAATGTAAACATTTTTCTTTGATATTTTTCTTTTATGAGTTTGTATAATATTTATAAATCAAGTGATTTCTTTGATAAAATATGATTTAACTTTTTGTTATTAATAAATACATATACTAATCAGTTCATTTAAATTTTACTTATTCTTTATTTGTAGGATAGTGAATCTTAAATGAGCCAAACAAACAATAAAAAGGGAATTAAGAATAAATTACATGTGCAAGATTAATCCATATTCATACCCAATATCTTTAAGTTTTACAACTTTATCCATCATAATAAGAATATATCATAAAATTCCTCGAATAGTAATAATGTAGTCAATTCTATTATTAAAGTGTTAGTTAATGACTTATCAACTATTTTAAATCAATCTTTAGATATTCCAATATACTAGTTATATATTATAATAAAATTTAAATATTATTAATAATTATCATAAAAATTAAGCCTATTATATTGTTTAATAATTTGTTTTAATTATTCATCTCACTAAACTTTTAGTAATTAAGTCTGTAAATTTTTAAACAAATAATATTAATATGTAACTCTCAATATAGATTATATATGCTTAAATTATATATAATAATTTAATCAAAAACATATAAAGATACTAAAAGCATAAGAATGTAATGAAAAAAAATACCACTATAACAAAATAACATATTATTATTATTTTGAGATTCTTAGTAAATATTAAATTATTGATATCATCTCTATTTCATATTTGGATGAAATATTGATAAATCTAGTGTTCACACAAAATTTTACCATTATGGAAGACTAATACCATCCTAATGGAATAATATTATTATGTATATAATCCTAAACTATAACGATATCCAAAATAGTATCATCTTATTCCATCATATAATTATTGAAAGTAGATCCTCAGAATTATCTAAATCTCTAAATTATGAATGACATTATGAATATTATTTTTTAATATCATTTAAGACTAATCTTTAATGTAATTTTATAAATTTATTAGTCCATACTACTTTAATGAGTACATAACTGATACAATGATATAAAATATATTTTAAATATTTTATAAGTAAATAAAATATTTATTATAATTTATATTCTGTAAGCCTACCCTTCTAAGAAACTTTGGTGATAAAACTTAATGATATAAGTTACAAATAATATTTACTATTTTAAAAATCTAATTATGTAAAAATTATTTAAAAAATAATCAAAATATTTATTGAACATAAACTTTAATATATATGACAAAACTCATATGATAATAATAATCATGATAAAATAAAAGTCAGGTTCATAATTTTAGAATAC